TCGCCTTCGGCTCGTGGTTGTATATCTGGTACAACACGGCCACTCATACTGCATATATTACTTAAAAATAATATTTGGAAAAAACAATATACATTATCTAAACTAATATTATTGTTTTTCAATCCAATGTTTTATCAAAAAATTAACATTYTAAAAGTTTTTGTTCATAATTAAAAACTTAATAAATTAAGAGTACTTGTAGTTTAGTATTCTCAGGGTATTCTTGACCTTGTGATATTCAGTGTTAATCGTGCCAAGTATTAAATAATCAGTATCGGTATATTTTGAGATGTTCATATTTCCACATAGTTTTATTTGAACAACAACAAAAATATGATGGGTTAATAAGCTGAAAGATTGGAGARTATATTTAAATTTGGTAGTCTTGAAGCTTTCGTGTTCCATATAGATTATACATAAGGTTTTTTACGGTTTGAAGCACTATGTGTTGAAAACATTTTCTAAAACTCATGAATATTTAATGAGTAGAAAACAAAGCAAATCACTACTGTGACAGTGGTTTGGAAATGTGTTCTTCATTTGCATTAAATTTCATAAACTTTTTCTTTGATTTTCTCCAAGAAATGTTCATGAATTTGAAAAGTGATTTGAAACACTTAAGAGTTCTTCCTCCGATTTCCAAACAGCTGCACCTCGTTTTTTCAACTCATTTTTCAGTGTTTGGAAATCGGAGGAAGAACTCTCTCGCATGTTTGAAATATTACTTCAAAAATGCTTTGAACACGTCGTGCTTCAAACCGTAAAAAACCTCATGCATAATTTATTCACCTTTCTTAAACTACAGAGCCTTCATGACAAAATGTTCACTAAAAAGCTCATAGTGCACTAATGCACTACTCATCTAAAGTATATTAAAGTATATATTTTCTTGATGTTGAATGAACACAGATTTTAGCAATCTTATTAGTTTTTAAGAGTGCAAGTTTTATAATTTTTGAAACATCAATATTGGTTTCTCAGAAACTTTTACAAGTACTTTAATTCATACTTCTTATAACAAAATATTGTATGAATACCAATTTAATAAAATATATTGAATTATAAATGCTTAATTAGGAAAACCAATAGAAAACAGTCACCCAGGAGAAGTCTGTAAATGAGATAAAGAATCCTGCTCATTTGAATTTAATTTTCTCAATCCAACTCACTCCAAATATTTTAGTAGAAAATGAAATTACACATTTGATAAAATTCAATTCCAATATGTGTCAGCTTCACACAAGATGCCTTACATCAGATTGCCCACTTTTAGTGTATATATTAATTACATCTGAATGACTTACTGTACCTAWAGAGTATTTCAATTTACCCCTTCTTAAAGTAGATATAATTAGACTGTGAKTCATTTTCATTCAACTATTTAATATTGATTGTGATATTTTCTTTCACCAGTCAAATGCAATCACACAATCAGTGTTCCAGAACACTAACAGTTTTGTCTAGTTTTCTTAAGAAAATTAAAATAAGATGTATGTTTGTTTTTATAGATTATTAAATAGGGCAGACTAAGTGACTCTATTGTCTTCAGAGCTTCACGAAAACCTCATGATCTGTAAGCCATTTCCAGCTCTAATTTCAAAAATACTTTGGAATACTTTATCCCTTTAGATGATGACAAAAACTATACTTCATTTCATCTATTAAATTAGAGATTTGATTCGTTATTCTATTGCATGGACATATCATAGCCATATAGTCTGATTAAAGCTAATCATACATAATAAACATAATAATATGTTTTATCAAGTTGTGGTCCTTTGGCTAGAAATAAATAAAAAATATACACTGTATTGACCTATCAGATTGTTATAAGCTTATAGGAATTCCAACCCCATTTACCTAACTAAAATACACATAGCTTATTATGACTACCAAATAGTTATGGTCTCCTTAGGGTATAATCTGGATTTATCATACATTTTTGCTAGTAATAATAATAATAATAATAATATTTATTTATAAAGTGCAAATACAAATCTGTTTTAAGCGC